GGGCGAGTTGACTCCTCGCTTTGTACGATTTATAGAAAAGCCGAAGAAATCGGTAACTGGCAAACTTCCACCGAGTTGAATGCTCTCTCGTGCTATTGATCACATATAGCATAGTAAAAGTGATGCGATGTGGTGTCCTCTCTAGTGGTTCAGAACCTGTCTTCATACCTAATGTAGATTCTGAACTAAATCAGAGTTTTGCAATGTTGATGCATCATATAATCAATTGGATGTGAATAAAGTGAAGTTTCAAGTACAATTTGTGTAGGTTCCCTCTTATCTTTTACTCTCTTACAGATAATACTTCATGCACATATTGACCCCCTTAACAGTAAAAATGCCTAAGCAATTCTACAAATAAACCCAATGAAATTGAATTAACGTCTCAGATACCCGAAAACATAATCATTAACAATGGTGTGTGTAGAAGAGTTAAGATAAAGGTAACATACGGAAAAGGCAAACTTGGAAGTGTGACGTTAGTGTTCGAATTAGAAATGGACAGAGTCTTTACGTTTATGTAATACAGTCAGTGACATACCTGGCAAGAGTTATGGTACTGATTACCATATTTTGCCAATGATGAAATGCTCCAGGACATCCACACACATAGACACACACACACACAGAGAGAGAGAGAGAGAGAGAGAGAGAGAGAGAGGAGAGAGTGAGTGAGAGCGAGAGCGAGAGAGTGAGAGTGAGAGTGAGAGTGAGAGAGTGAGAGTGAGAGTGAGAGTGAGAGTGAGAGTGAGAGTGAGAGTGAGAGTGAGAGCGAGAGCGAGAGCGAGAGAGAGAGAGAAGAGAGAGCAAGAGCAGAGAGAGCAAGAGCAGAGAGAGAGAGAGAGAGAGAGAGAGAGAGAGAAGAGAGAGTATACGATAATTAAAGTGGACAATCATTTTGTCGAATTTTGAGAGAGAGAGGAGAGAGAGAGAGAGAGAGAGAGAGAGAGAGAGAGAGAGAGAGAGAGAGAGAGAGAGAGAGAGAGAGAGAGAGGAGAGAGAGAGAGAGAGAGAGAGAGAGAGAGAGGAGAGAGAGAGAGGAGAGAGAGAGAGAGTACTCGATAATATAAAGTGGACAATCATTTTGTCGAATTTTGATTCAACAAAATATCAAGGAATCGCGGCAGTGCCTTCGTCCGCATCCAAGGAGTCGGAAAAGAGGAGGAGCTTACGAGACCAGCAATGAGAAATAAATCTGTGTCGGTGCCACGTGTCAGAAACGTGTTTTTGAGTTTTTTTTTTTTTTTCCATCTGACCCTTTTTGGACCTCTTCACAAGAACAGTCTCAAAATAGAGGCTCAACCACACTCGCACTTTTCCTTCATTTTTGCGTTTCCGCGTAAAATTGACTTTCCGCATGTAACGCTGGCATACACTTGAAGGATATTTGAAGGAATCGCGTCAGTGCCTTCGTCTACATCCAAGGAGTCGGAAAAGGGGAGGAGCTTACGAGATCATTCATCAACCTCCCTAATGAATGGTGAATGGTTAATGTTTTAAACAAATAAATGTGCTCGACATCAAAGGTCATATATCACTACGGTAAAGTATTGTGGTAAAGGGTTTAAAGTAGTTCTTTATTAGAACAAACTGTATTAGATTTCAGCGGTCATATGGCATTGTAAGATAGTATGGTAGTGAAAGGGGTAAAGAGATGATGTGATGTTAGTCAACATGGGCAATATGCTATTGCTACCTTGGCAATGTGATGGGGTCATACCTTTTGCATACGGAAACAAAAAAACTGATGCAAAAAGTTCTGATGTGATTGGGCCTTTAATAAATACAAATATACAAAGATATATATGTAGTTATATTTTGGATAGTTTCATAAACCTTTAATTTTCAGTGATTATGCTGAAGTTAAATCCCATCGGATTCTGGTTTGTACCAAGCATTTTCAGTATGTATATGATCAGATTTGTTTTTTCAATAATAAGACTTCCACAGCCTCTTCTCTTTCGGTTTTCTCAGGTGTAAACGTTTGAGGAAACCGAGATGTGTAACATTTTCCTCCTTTACATTTACACGATAGATCAGGAATGTATAAAACATTTTTACATAGTACTAATAAAATCACATATGGAAGCTGACAAAAAATCATATCTTTATTTATTTTTCATAAAAACAGTGTCCTTCCAGATCAGTTGTAGAGGTCTATACACATGCTATGAAAAGTGAACTGTAATAACAAATCAAGTATTCTCTTCTCTGGTTACATACTGCATCATGCTTTAATTTTAATCTTTTCCTGTTCCAAAATTTTTATCATATTAAAAGACAGACTATTCATTTTTTCTATTTGCAGTCTATGGAGTGTGTATAGCATTGCATTTTTTTTTTACTTATCACAATTCTTCATTATTTCGAAATGGTTAATGATCAATAGTTAAAACAAATAAATCTGTTCAATTCTTTAGAAAACAGGAAATGTAATACTTATAAAACTCCAAATAATGTCAGAGACACGTCAGTCAAGAGAGGATAATAATACATTAAAATTTGTGTGTTTGGTTTATATTGTTATTTCCTTTATATTGTATGCAAATGTAAGCCTTATTACTAAAAGTGAAAATACATGGAATTCTCCAAGAGAACAATACCTCCTTTCTGCTCAATGTCTGCTTTAGCAAAACGTACACATCGTCAAACATTTTACAAAATTGCTGCGTACCTATTTACTTTTATTCATTTGGAGGGGTTTTCAGAAATCATACTAAAATGGTTTCATCACAAATAACTATTTACATCCATACTTCAAACACAACCAAACTTTGGGCAAATACAAACAGAAATCTGGCATGATCCTGGCACAAAATAACAGCGAACACGACAGAAAATTAGCTGGTCTTGCAATTGTACTTTGCATTTTTCTTTGTGCACTTCTGGTGACCAAGAATTTATGGCTTTACAATAATGCATAAAAATGTTTATTTCATTAAAAAAAAGATGATAATAAATATATACATAAATTAGATTCCTAGGGAAATGTGGCCCATCATATAAAATGATTGAACACCGACTATGTTCCCGAACAGGTACATGTGATCAAAGTCACGGCAAGTCTGCGTCCTTAAGACCACTAGAGGAAAGTACGGGTATTAAAACTTGAAGAAAAAAAAAAAAGAAAAAGAAACAAAAAAAAACTCAATTATTACAAGATGGCATTCCCTGTGGCCATCAGATCTCACCATCGCACTTCTCTAAGGTCTTACTTGGCAAACTCGTCCTCAGTCGTACTGTTGGGTCTTCAAAAAAAGTTGTGAGTGGGTCAGTGAGCCAGAAAACTCTATTGTAAATGTTCCTCAATCTTGCTAAGCTAAATGAAGAAAAAATCATATGACATTCCTATCTTTTCTCTCAATTTTCTATTAATCTGCCAGGCTACCAGCCTGGTTGAATAAAATTACAATAAGTAAAACAGTTGAAGAACACATAGCTGTGTCTACAGGCAGGTTATTACTAGCTATGCAACTGACGAGAACATTCGACCAAAGAACACCTTCGTCTATTGGTTTTCTGGGATTCCAGCCAGTCAGATCTTCTCTAAGTCTTTGCCCACGTCTGTCTATTGAGTCATTTCCTAAGTCTTTTGACTTATATTTCTTATGAGGTTTTCCAGAGCAGTTCTTACCATTTATCTATATATTCAATATATATAAATATTTAAAGAAAAAAAATAATGTTCAATAAAAAAAAGTCAATGGTAAGAATGAAAACCATCATCTCACATTAGTATTGATAGGCATAGCTGTGATGCAATACCAATACCTACATTTATAAATTATTAAAAAAATCATTATAATGAAAGTGATGAAGATGGCAATGATTAATACAAAAATGATAGTAGTACCAATAATAATAATCATAAGTATACTAATACCATTAACAACAATAGTAATTATAGTAGTAACATTACTAGTGGAAGCTGTAATGCTCAATGTGGTTGTAGGAAATCAACTTTTAAGATCTTGATAAATTGGTCACTTCTTAACTTCTCAATACTCTACAAAAATGACAATACAGAAAACAAGTTTCCAGCAAGGACATTCATCTACCAATGGAAGAAACCTCCATTATCTTTTAAAAATATTAATATAACAAAAAAAAAAAAAAAAAAAGTTTCTATAGCAATAAGAAGTTACATCTTTACAGACCACAAGGCAACATGGTAATAGTTAGAAAAAATTAATTCATAATAAATATAAAGAAACAAAATCATCCTGACAACACTGACAAACGCAAAATGAACCAAATTTCCAAACCTCTCTACAGAACTGAAATGGAACAATGTCTTTTTTGTTCATTCTTTCTTTTATTCTAATTCAAAATTCTGCATAGTGGGACACCAACTTGGATGATAATCTACTTACAATTGAACACAGCTACAAAACTATTGTAGGTGGAAATGGAATGTGAAATCGACACACCAAACCAAAAGTCCTACAGGCCTTGTTCGTATTGGACGAGGTCATGAGACACCAGTCACTACCACACCATACTGTAGTCGGTTATATAGGGAACAGGACAGGGGGTGGAGGGTGACACTATATAGGCTCTAGCGATTAAGGTTAGGATATATATATATATATTTCTTTACAGGGCACTTCTGAAAATGTGTTCTGAGGTTATTCATCACAATCTTCTTTTCATCCTTTTTCCCAAATTTCCGGACCCTTGGCTTTACAGTAGAATTCTATATAGAACTTTCATGAATAGCTGATCAAACAACAGTTTCCAGTGCAATTACAAAACACTTTGCTTCTTTTTAATCATTTGTATACATCAATTTATACAGACTTTTGAACACTAGAACCATACTTTTGGTATCACAATATACAGGGACAGTGTAGGAATAGTATACATTTACTTCTAATACTGAGGTATCCACTTGGTACAAAAACTGATCATATATATCTTACCAAATAGTGGTTCACAATCTAAACTACACCTAATACTTGTAGCCATGATAGCTATGGCTCTCCTTCATGAAATGTGAAAACCATCCATTCATTAATTCTCACCACAACAACATGAAGTACTCAAAATTCACAATACCTACACCTACACCTTGCTTAATCTCATGAAAAAAAATAAAATAAAATAATGTAAGAAATTAAAAATCCCACAGCTATCAATTCTAGACAAATCATTCTGATGGAAGGCAGGTGGGGGGGGGGATTCTATTAGTAGGGTCATGGCATAAGGAAGGACAAAGGGGAGGAGTCAGGGGATGGTGAAGTGAGGAAGAGGAGAAGGGCGGGTGAGGAAGGAGGACCATTCACATATACACAATAGACATCATGTATTTAATCCCTAGAAGGTCACCTGTGAAGTCACTCGTACACATCGGCCTTTGAGGGCCCAGTCATTGGCTAGTTTTGATACAATGAAGTGTTTTGACGTCACTGGGAGCATGACTGTTGGTGGATGTCTAAAAAGGTTACAGGGAGTTGGTTTGTTGGATCGTTGGTTGGTTAGGGTAGTAGTATGTCGCTGTGTTGGCTGTCCGTAACTGTCCGTAGTGTAGTCGGCGTAGTCACGATGTCAACACTCTGCTGTGGAAATGAGATAATTCTGTGAAGTCAAAGAACAGCCATACATATATAGAGAGATTATATACATTTACAGGCCAGAACTTTCTTTAAGCTGATATTCAAAATTTTTACTTCCATTATCCCTTAAAACACACACTACTGTAATATTAAAGCATAAAAAGATCTGCCAAAGACATATTTTCAGATTCTTAAGCCTGGCCAAGAATGTTGACAAGAAAAAACAACAATGAAAAAAAAAAAAAAAAAAAAAAAAAAAGCAAAAACTGACTCCATATCAAATTCTCTATCTTGAATCAAGAGACGAAAAATAATATTGTGAAAGATATAATACAACAAAAATTTCACTTGAGAATTTCCATTAAAAAAGAAAGTAAATCCCAGGTCTAACACATCACTGAAATACAGATTTCAGGGAGGTAGCACAATTAAAACATGTTGCGGGAAAACCAACAGACAATTTTACCGTCAACAATCATGCTCTGAGAGTAAGACAAGTGCCATGCTGCTGACAATAGGGTTGGGTTCAGGTAATTTGCACCTGTCAGAGCAAAGTCTAGCCACACATGTGACTAAAATCTCAGTCCACAAGAGGATTATAAAAGATAAAACATTAATAACAATCATAATGGTAAGATCCATTATGGTTATGGAAGGGATCTAAGTATATTATAATGATTGGTGCAAGTGCTAGTAACTCTATAAGGCACTTAAATTAAAGACAGGACCACCATTGAGGATAAGTGCCTTATTATAATTTGGTAGTGCCTTTTTTGAGACCTCCGCCCTCTAATCCGTGTTAAAATAGATAAATGAATAAAATGTAGTCCTCCATTTGTTATTGGTGTGTTTTTTGTTCCCCCAAATTGTACAACAAATCATAATATGTAAACAAAATAAACAATAGTGGAAATAATATATATATATGACCATTAAAATATATAAGCGATATATAAATTAAATATAATAAAATATTACATAGTCTCCAGCAAAAATAGTTTGAGTTACAACAAAAATCGTATGTAGATGGAGGATGTCATAAAGATCAAGTGGCAGTTATTTGGTGGGTCCCAGCAGGAGATGTATATTCTTGTGCTGGTTATAGTAGAATTCAAAAGTATTTGTGTTTTCTTCACCATCTACCATTTAGGTGCATACTGATTACAGCTTATATGCGCCATACCATAGAACGTACATAAAACGAAAATGTGACAGTAAATGAATGGTAACACTCTCAGTAGATTTAACCAGCTGGAATATGTCCTCCAAGGAAAAATCCATATAGAAAACTGAATGAATGTTTTAAGCTAGCATAAAAAGAAGGTTAATTATACTATCACAGATAGTGTTGTGTATCAATTTAAGCATATAAAGGTGAAGTAGGGTAAAAGTAGGATATAATATTTAATTAATATTAAATTTACACTCCCTCGTAATAATATATTGTAATGCTCATGAAGAAGCTATTATTTTAATCGTATAACTAATATTTTTTTCTTAGTATACTGATCTAAGTTTAGTATAATTAATTAAGTAGCTATATTAGATATACATAGAACCTAAGAATAGAATCCTAATGATATAAATACACAACATATATGTAATATCGCCAAAATAAAAGTTAGTCTCTCATACTCAAATATAGAATATTATGTGACAAAATAAGTAGTAACAAATCATCTCATTAATGTTATACTCCTCACCTCAGACCAACAAAATATTACTCCAATACATCGCATATATAGTAGGAAAAGTACAGGTGTCAGTTCAAAAGTGCATAGACCTGTGTTCTGCCATTTGTTGTTTCCTACCTGTCTAATCTTTTTACCAGTTCTCTTCCTCTATCCAACAGGTTCCTTGACTACATGTACATTGAAGTAGGTTTCTTTCAGAACTTCTGCTTAGAATTTCTTTCCTCATGTATTGTGTAATGATCTGCTGTATACTGTGATTACAAGCGCATGGGCACTTGGTTATACGAGCTACTGGCTGTGCTCACCTCTCGAACTCAATGCGTAACTCTTCTTCAATACTATTTCATACCTTTTCTGCTACTAGCAATGCGGTCGTAGTCTTATTATCATTATAATGCATTGACTTACTGATATACTTATCTAGATAGGTGAGAGGGAGGGGAGTGGAGAGGTATGATAAGAGAGAAAAGTGAGAGTAGTGGTAGGTATGAGAGGTAGGGTGATGAATACTCGAGGTGATGAAGTTAGGAGCAGGTGGTAAGATTGACAGCGAAGGAGGGAGAGAAGTGTTGGAACTAAGAGGGATAGTACAGTCGTTGACTAAGTGCCAGCTGTTGATGTTGAGCAAGTAGAGAGAGGAAAGAGTGTTGTGATGCAATTGTGAGTCCCTCAGAGACAGATATATGTTATGTGATATGGGAGAATAGTATTGAAGGAGAGTAGATAAGGTGAAGATGAAAGTTTGTTCACTAGGAAGGTGTGAGTGTCTTGTGTTGTGTTGTTATGCGATAGTGGGAGAGTTGATGTGCGGGTGATGAGTGGTAGCTGCAGTGTATTAGGAGAGTGACTATCTCAGGTATAGAAAGTTATTAGTGTGAATTTGGGGTTGCAGAAAAAAAAGATTGAATAAACGCAGACATAGGAATTTGGAGAAACTGAGTGATTTGTTTGTGAGGAAATGTAAAAGTGGAGATGTAAGTTTTAGTGTAGATGTTCTTTCTTGTGTTATGATGACTTGCCTATTGATTATTTGGACGCTGGTTATATTTTAGTTCCAATCTTATAGTCTTTTATATTATACTTTTGCTTATTAAGTATATTTTATTTTCAAGCCAGGTCACATAGTGTCGCTTGTTACAGCAATGAACTGGAAAGGAGTTTCACATCATTACCCAGATACAAGTTACTCATTAAGTTAGTGACAAGGAAATACCACAAGAGTCAAATCAGATATGGATAAATATTATAAAACTAACCCTCAAGTACTAATTGTCAATTTTTTAGCTTGATTTTTATCCAAACCTACAATATCTGTAACAACATAGAATGAAAGCTAATGGGAACTTTTGCTGTTTTTTTAGAGCAGATGATAGACATCATAAACAAGTCCATTTAGACAGAACCAATAAAACACAATAACAATGTTTGTATCTCTTTATTATGACTCATTGTAATTTTGTACTAGATTATATTTATGACATTATTTGTTTATATTATTTTGACTATTGGAAAATAAATGTATATTCATACTAATAATATATTCTATTGACAAGATCCATCTATTACTTGTAATTTCTGTTATTGTTATAAAATAGCTATATATCCTTCTATATAAGGCATACTGCCACCAAAGCGAATGCAACTATATCTTGCAGACCTAACTAGAATTCAAGACCTGACTTCGCATAAGTGACTTTATGTCAGAGCTGTCTACAGACTTGAGGATGATGTTATTGAGTTTAATCATGCGAATGCTATTGTGTGCTCTTATGGATGAGCCTCATTAGAATAATATGCCCTTAAGTACTGAATTCAATAAGGGGGTCTTTATGATCCTAAGGCATAAATGTATATAAGATCGTTCTCGCAAGCATTAAACTAATCAAAGAAATATTAAAATAATAAATCTCAAGAAAAGAATTCAAAAGATACCTAACAAAAAATGATATAAAAGTCACATTAAACTCATCTTATAAAAGATATTTGCATAAAAAGATAATACAAACTGCTGACAAGACCCTTCATTGAATCAGTTAAGCATATTTTCTAAGGCATCAAAAGCACAATGCATGCACCAACATCAGCTGACCTCCTAAAGTCCTTTCAAACTTCAACTGAGATATAGTTTAATCAGGTCCAGTATATAAGTATATACATAAAAATAAGATGATGATTCATCAATAAAATAATAATTATCAAAATTAATATACAAATAAATGTATAAATAAACTTGTACAAAATTACACAAAAAAAGTAGATGCTATCGCTCAAAACCAAAGTTCCATACTTCATCTAGTTGGACAGTTGTGGTTTTAAAATCAGTAAAAAAAAGTACTAGGTTATAAATTCTACTATTTGCTCTTTTGTTTCCTTTTCTTGTTATTTGTACTTTGTAATATATTTTCTTTTCTCATGCATACTTGAAAAAAAATAATAATAAATAAATAAAATAAAATAAATACCAAATATGGAAGCATAAAAAAGAAAGAAATAAAAAATATTCAATTTTTTCTTTCCAAAAAATATCAGTTCTCAAATTTTCTATGAATCTGCTTTAGTTCAATCTTTTTTTTTCTGCAACCCCCAAAATATAATATTCTGAGATATACTTAAGGTCACCCCATACCCTAACAATAAATATCTGTGAACAAATTTACTTCCTATTATCCCTTCTTTTTCCCCCCATCCATAAAATCTGTGGAGGATACAATGCACTATTGTAAACAACAGCTGGCACTTATCAAGATGTTAATGTTATTAAATTCTTGTCAAAGTTATCATATAATAACAATCACCACAATCATTATTATTATCACTATTATAACTGTACTACTTGTAGTAGCTGTAGTAGCATTAGCAGCACTAGCAGCACTGGTAGTAGATGTAGAAATAGAAGTAAAAGTAGTAAAGTGACAACAGCAGTAGCAGCAAAAGCATTGTGAATAGAAGCAGAAAAAAGGAAGAAAATTAAGAGATTGCGACATTAGTAAGAGTAGGAGTAGTAAAAGTAGCAGGTGAGAACAATGGAGTACTGTCAGAACCTCTTCAACTCTTTCCTAAGAGAGGTTTTGTGGTCTGGGTGAGGTCTTGACTTTTCTTTAAAATATTTGAAATGTGGGGAAAAAATTGGTGCCATTTATTTCCTTGGATACTTTCCCTGTTCTATGTCTAAAATGCTACTATTTTTCAAAAACAAACTGACGTACAGAAAAAAATATGTCGATAAAATAAGCTTCTCTGGCATCTATATATTATCGGGAGTGAATTATATAATATCCTACTTTCCCCTTCCCTTCTTTACACACTTTATTCACCAACATTCATTCCAGTTTTCTAGGATTTGAAAATCACGCTACTACTGTTCTTCCATAGTCCATTTGTAGGTCTTGGATGATGAAAGCTGACTTCACAAGGATGACAAATTTTCATAGAAGAATAATACATCTAACTGCTGACCCACATACATGACTTGATCTTTATGACATTACAACATACGATTTGTGAACTACAAACTATTCTGAAATGATTTTTTTTTTTTTTTTTTTCTTTTTTCTTTTTTTTACATGTATGTACAATTAGATTTGTGTACATGAACACACAATACAATACATACAATTACAATCACAACCCAAAACATTCTAACAACACTCAAAAAAGCCTACCCAGGTCGTATTTCCTTTATAATCTACACGCCAACTTTACATACCACTTCACCAAACAGCACTGCCTTGTTCATTCTTAAAGATGTGCATTTTTGAGAAAATTTCACCTGAATGTTACTGTATATTTTCCTGGTAAAAAGAATTATAAAAATAATAAATAGATATGTAACATAAAAGTGGATGAGAAAAACTAAACACAGATCAAGCAGTTTGAATTATTTCATGCTATGACCACCATGCATGCTTCTCTTGATAATGAAAAAATCACTTCTCTCGTTAACTTTATCCACATACATTTTCTCCTCCTTTGTAAAATAATATATGAGCAAGCAAATCATCTTAAAATGTAAGTCATGCACTACTAAGTTCATTAAAATACACAACTAATTCCCTTTATGAACAACAACAAAAATGACAGAATTGAAATCTGTGCAACACTTTTGCTCAATGTCCCTCAACAGGATGTGTTCCTGTGCATGTTAACAGCCATGCATCATATCTCCTCTATCACAGATATCATTATCACAGCATACATCAACAAGATTCTAAAGCTTTAAGTCAATCTTTTACAAAATACTGATGAATCTGACTTAAAAATTTATGGAACGTGAGATTCTGGAAACAGTATCAAAATAAGTGATATCTCTTTATGCAGAACAAAATACAAGGGTAAGGGAAAAATTGCATTGCAGTTTTAAATACATGCCAAGCACACCAGTGATGCTATCAGTTCATGCACACACGTACCATTGCCTAAGACAGCATACAAGATCACAGAGGCCTTTCCCCTTTACAGCCCTCGCTATCATGCATTCTTGTAAAATACACATTCTTTCTTTTGTATTATGGAGTCTTCTTGCATAGAAATGTACAAGTTCTAGGCGTATGCAGAGAAATTCTCCCAAGAGCCAGTTACAGAGCCAATACACATGACAAAGAAAAATAGTGTTTCTGGGCATTTCCCTTCTTTCTCAACCATCTCTCTGCACACATAGGAAGATATTAACAGAACAGTTGTCTGCTTTCACAAAGAAAAAAGACGACGCATTCCTGACATTTCTGAAGTCTGCCATCTATCTACAGTGAGAATCTGATATCGTAAATCCCAAGACTATCCACCTATTCAATTCAGCTGGCTAAAAATAGTTTGTTTTTTCTCTTAAACCATCTCTAGATTCAATAATGCTATAATGATATACATATTTATATATATATATATATACAGGCAATACAAACTTGCTTTGATATATCATAAAATAGGAAGGCCATCCTCAGGCACTATCTTGGGAGGTACAAATAATCACAATTCTCTCTTAACCGAGCCTAATAGTCAGAAAGTTGCATGTGTCAGGGCACTCAATGCATACCTCGTGGCAGGGATGCTCAACTCTGATCATCGATGCGTAGTCTCTTGCGACCTGAGTCTGCTTTGTCATGTGGATCTGCTTCCATTACTTTTAAACGAGATCCAAGCACTTCTTGTCCATGTAACACCTGGTGAATGAGATAAATGTCTAGTATTATTTGCGATGTTCATTCAAAAGGCATTTTTTTATTGACAATCAAATCTCTTACATCACATTACCCAT